GGAATTTTAAAATTAATTAAAAGGCAAAGAAAAATAGTCACATATTTTACTCTAATTTATTCAAAAATTTTTTTATAATACTCATAAGATTAATTTAAAAGTATAAAATAGTACAAACATGTGTAACTCGAATAACGCCAAGTGTATTCACACTCAAATCTTTTTCATATTCCTCAATTTTACACCAGTCATCATATCCATAAATTCCAAATGATCCAGCATTATTTACTAATGCCCATAATTCTGAAATAAAAAAGTAAATAAACAAATAGATAAATAAATAAATATAAGTAAGTAATTATAAATACATACGAAAGATAATTAAAAAAAAATTCCAGAGCGAAATAATTTTAATAATTAAATGTTGCATTAACAAGTAAACTGCTTTAAAAATGTTGCTAGACTTGAAATTCTATTTGAAAATTTTGTTATGACATTAAAAATATCACATTATCAAATTAATTAATTTATCAATAAAATAATATATTTCAGTGAAATTCATAAGTGCGGCATCTAAAAAATTAATCATATTAAATGAATATCATATTATCACAGTAATTAAATATCACATTGTCACTACAAATGACTAATTAAAATAATAATAATATAACTAAATTCTTATATGTATGTACGTCACTTCACAATAAATAATTAAATAACAAAATTTGTAAAATAAAGTATTCCATTATATGTATGTATGTATGTATGTATGTATGTATGTATGCATGTATGTGTGTATGTATGTGTGTATGTATGTATGTATGTATGTATGTACGTCACTTTACAAATAAATAAATCATCAACTAAAGTTTAAATATTAAATGTTGGTTCAGAATTCAAATTGTAATTTGTAATGGCATCCGGAAAGAAATTGATTCATCACAGTTTAAATGTGACGCAAATATTTTTAATTAATTATGACTGACGCATTTTAAATTGATTATGTTTGAAATTTTTTAATCGATTATACCTGATATTTTTTATATTTTTAATTAATTAAATCTGAACAAATATTTTTAGTTAATAAATGACATAATTTTAATTAATTATGTTTGGAGCACTCCTAATTATTATTATTACCTGACCTAATTATTTTCAATTGATAAACTTTTAATTTCGTTACTTAGATTAATTTATAAAATAACTTTAGATCATTGTTATCTGATAAAATATAACCAATTATTTTATCATATTTTATCAGACAAAAGAAAAAATACAGTAAAAATTATTAATTATTATCAATCATTAAATCGTCTCATTTGCGCATTAAACAACGTAAGGATTTATTACACTATTTTCTTTTATTTTATCATTTTTCAATAATTTTTTTCGATTGATTTTTTTGGAGAAATAAAAACAAGTTTCATTGCGTTTTTTTTTTTTTTTTTATATTTTAAATCAAATTTTTTAAAAAATTTATACTTTTTGTTTATAAATTTAATTTTCATAATTTATTAATGGAAAGCTATAGTATTTAATGTCTAATTTGCGTACTTAATTTAGATTCCAAGTTCTCTTGCACAAAACGGACAGCATTTTGAACCGAATCTTCTTTGGTGACATCAATTTGTACCGGAATTAACATTCCGATAGTTTTTTTAGCTTCTTCTCTGATTGTTTGCATTCCCTAAATGAGTAAAATAGTCGAATATTGCTCAAATATTTTAAATTATGTTTTGAATTCATTTTCCAATGTTTGAATTTGAGAAAATGAATTCAAGGAATGGCTAGCATGCAAATTTCATTCCTTTAATTTTATCATTTTCTTTTCAAGATCTACTATCAATATCTATTATTACTAAATAAGCATTCTGTAATACTATAATAAATCAGTTATAATCTTACCATTTCAAAACTTTAATTTCCGTTCAAATTTCATCATTTAATTAAGTAATATACAAAAACATAAAATAATTATTTATCATTAATAACATTCACAATCAAATCATTTACCTTAATTATTTATTTCAAAATTTCATTTTCATTTAAAAATAATAATTAAAAAAAAAGATACATGTAAAAGTTAAAAAAAGACAAACACACCTCTTCAGTTAAACATCCAGCAAATGTTGGTAGGCCATTTTTTGCACATTTAATAGCCAATAAGTAGCCAAAGCCAGAATCACATCCACTAATGAAAACTGCCTTAGAATTAAGATTAGCTATTTGAATTGTTTCCAAGTAATTGCGTATGCCATAATAAAGAAAGATAAGTGCTGCGATAAGTAATAATACTTGTAGGAACATTTTTCTTCAAATTTTTAATCCATCAAAAATGGTATTACAGTTTCAAAATCTGAAAATAAAGCAAATTTCTTTATTTTTTTTTTTTTTTTTGCAAAATAATTATAAAATTAGAATTAAAATTTTTTTCAACAGCACTTTTTTCAAATAAAAAATACAAAAAAATTTGAGAATAATGAAAAAGCAATAAAAATTATTAGCGTATTATTCATATTTCCTATTTTTCGATTTCAATTATCACAATAAAATAATAATTATAAAATCAATGATACAACAGAATTAATTAAAAATAAAATATTTCCACAAAAAAATTTCCAAAATTAAAAATATCAATTCAAAAGCAATGTAATAAAATTTCTTGTTTCATTTTCCTAAATGAAACAAATCGGCTCTTTTATATATTAAACAATAATTTCAAATTTGTTTCCAGTTTCTTCTCTTACATCACATTTCAAATTACTTTTAAGCACAAATGTATATAACAAATTGTTTCCAAATTTTCTTAAAAATTTATATTTAAAAATATGGAAGTTATAGTGATGAAATATAAATAAGATATATTTTAAAATTTTAAATTAATCAATTTTCTAATTGCACATATAAATTAATTGAATTTTCTAATGTTTCATTTAAAATTATTTTTTTTTCAAAATGAAGAAACGAAGGAATGAAAGAAGAGAAGAAATAGAAAAGATATATACCAACATTTTTCGTTTTTGAAACAAAAAAAAAAAAGTAAAACCAATGAAAAAAAAAATAATAATTTAATTACAAAAAAATAAAAAAGAAGGAAAGAAAGGTAAGAATTGAAGAAGTGGTAGTAAAATGACATTATTTATCAATAAAAGTCATATATGACTATCATTTGACAACTATCAACTACAATCATTTTTCACCTACTTTTAATCTTTCCTTTTTCTCTTTTCCGATCTATCATCCATCATTTAATTATTTCATTTTTTTTTTTTTTTTTTGTTTCATTTCATTCACTTTACATTTTCTTTTTAATTTTTTATATTATATTTTAGGTCACATTAAAACACAAAACAAACATTTGGCAAATAAGTAACAGTGACAAAATAAAAATATTATTCGTTGTTAGGTCAACGACAGGGTCAAATGTATTTTGTAGAGCAAAAAAGAGAAAGAAAAAGAAGGTCAATAAAATAAACTGTGGAACATTAATGATTTTTAATTGCTGTGTAAAATGATATTAAATAAGAGAGAGAGAGAGAGGGAGAGAGAGAGAGAAAGAGCAACAAAATGAATAAAAAAAAAATTTTTGGAAACGCAAAAATAAAATTTTGCCAGTTACATTTGATGAAATAATTTTACAAATAACACAAATGAGCGAATGAAATAAATTGAAAAGAGATTATTTCAAAATTTAAAATTTGTCACTTTTTTTTTTCAAATGATCAATCACTGAAAATATTGCTGAAAATGAAATTTAAATGTGAAAATTTTAATTTAATAAAATTTTTACATTTAATATATTGTTTCTTAATTTAGCAACAGCAATTTAATAGTAACAATTAGTTGGTGAATTTGTCGTAATTTATTTTTTAAAATATCAATAATTAATTTAAAAATTTATTAGCACTTAATTTAGCAATTATTAAAAAGTATTATTTGCTTTAGCAATATTAATTTGATATTTGCATTTAATTAATTGTTTGCATTCATTCATAGTTCTTCCAAAGATTGTAATAATTTCGAGAAACTTTTTTTTTTTTTTTATAGAGAATAAAACTAAATTATGCAAGCAAAGAAAGTTAGCTAATGAATATGAAAGATAATAATTGATGTTTTCCATTTGAAAAGAAAAAAAAAATAAACATTTAAGTGAATTAAATGCAAATAAATTAGTTAAAACTTATATATTAGACAAATAGATTAAGTAATAACTTTTTTAAAATATATATTTGTGAATTTTTTTCACAATTTTTTGTGGCTAATTGATAAATTATCTATTTGTTAACATCAATTAATTTCTTTGCCATTTTCAATATAGCATTAAGTTTGTTTATAATTTAACAATTTGTTTCACTATTTATGATTGCATACTAAAATTAACAATGTTATTGCAAAATTTTAAATTAACTTATAAAAGATGCCCTTAAATAAGCACAAATATATGCAAATATACCTTGTTGCCTTAAAAAAAAAGAAAGAACCGGAATTAGAAAAGAAAAGCAAATCCGGAATACTCATCTCATAGCATAATGTTATCTCGAATTACTTTATCATTTTTGCTTTTATATGAAAACAAAAAAAGGAAAACTTGTTTTATAATAATTTCATAAACAAATATTAACATATGACAAGCAAAAGGGAAAGTAAAAAGTTGATAAATAATAAACAAATTGATAATATAATAAGAAATAATTAAGCAATCAATTAATTAAAAAATATAAATTGCACAAATTATTGATGTTTAAAATAGCATTAAGTGGATAAAAGTAAGAAAGGACAAAATTTAGTTAAAAAAGAAAAAATTATTTGGAAAAAAATTAGGTATGAAAAAATTTTTATAATAAATAATACATACGTACCATACAAATTATTGCTATTTTTAGAGTAACAAAAAAAAAATTTGATTAAGAAATGAGAAATGATTTTTTAATTTAAATTTAAGTTCTAATTTATTCACTTAAATATCAATTAAAATATTTAAGATTGATAAAATTTGAAGTTCCTTCATTTATAGCTATTGTTAAGAAGCAAACGGTTTTGTATACCAAACATTTCAATGTATGCATGAAATGGGTAATAATATGTTAAACATTTTCATTTATTGTTTTAAAAAGAAAAGATAAAATCTAAATTTATTTTTGTGTAAGTTAAAATTTTTGTTCAAATTTTTCTTTTTAATATTTAAAATTCAAAAATTTACTTTAGTAATTGTATTACACTGCTTAGATAAAATTTGAACTTTGATTGTTTATCATTTCATTATAATTAATTACATAATAAATGAATAATCTTATTAATGAATTTTTTATAATTTATTTGTGTTTTACATATTTTATTAATTTATATACTCAATTTTTACAAGTAATTTTGTATCGTTTATTTCAAGCAATATATTATCGTTGCTTATTAATTGATAAAACAATTAATTAATGTTTCTCATTATATGTGTAAATTATAATAATTTCTGATATTCATTAATGTTTGATACTTGATTAAATTACTATTAAGATCAAATAATATTATAAGAAAGTTTTGTAATAGTGTTGTCATAATCATTGTTATATAATTATTTCATGTGATATAAAATAAATAAATAAATAAATAATTTTGCTAAAGGACTTTCATTAGCTAATTTTTTTAGCAAATCAATTTGAAAAGAATCAAAGGTTACAAAAGCTTTCGGAACAAAATTTTGTTAAAGGTGAAAGTATTATAAAATTCACTGAAAATTTACGAACTTCAGGTATCATAAAAAGTTTTATCTAAATTCAATTTGCAAAAATCAATTCAAATAGCAAAAGATGCGATATTTAAAATTTTATTCAAAAAACTACACGGCCGCTGCAACTAAATTTTTCACTTCGTCAACTTTTTAATTCCATTTTAAGCTTTAATTTTAGGGCTATTTGTAAATGCTATAAATGACTGATTAAGTTGGCTTATTAATTAAATAATTGATAAAAAATTATGTTAATTTAAATACTCGATAATAGTATTTAATAAATTAAATACTTGATAATAAGAGGCGTCGAATTAAATAAGTAATATTTGTTCGTAGGAAAATTAAAAATGATAACAGAACATGATGGAATGCGACGAAAAGAACGGCATATATCAAGTTTTATGCAAAATCAAAAAGTAATAGTTCAAAAATTTTTTATTTTATTTTTTTTTTCTTATTTAAAAATTTTCCTTTAGAGTTTCTGCTACAAATATATTTTTTTAAATATTTGATTTTAATTAAAAACTATTTTAATTTTCCATTTCTTTCATATGAATTTTATAAGCAATTGCTTAAATTGTTATTCTGAAATTAAAGTAGTCAAGAATCAAACATTTGCACTGTAACATTTGAAGAACAATAATATTATTTTCTATCACAAGAAAAAAATTGTTTTCAATTAATTTTTTAAAATAATTTTAAATTAATCGAAATTAATCAATCATATGCATTTCAAATAATATAACTAAGTTTGACAAAATTTTTAATAATTTGAAAAATATTGTTTATCGCTTGTCATTTAGGTTAAAATAATTAAACAAAACAGATATTTGCTAAAAATTTTATTAATTAGCAAAATATAATTTGCAGAAAAATCGTTATCAACACATTGTGCTTTACAATGAAGGAGCAATAATTCTTAAAGTGACAAAAAAAGATGCTAAAGATGATGATTATATTCATGCAACTAAAATTAAAGGAAATTTTGGAAGCTATATACTAGCTCAGGTATTATAAATTTATCTTTCTTTGTTTATTTTCTTGAAAACAAAGAAAAAACTAACAGTAAAAAAAAAATTATTTTACATTGATTGATTAAATCATTTATTAAAAGTTTTACAAAAAAAAAAAAAAACTATTTTAATAATTTTTCTATAATATTTTATGGCGATAAATGTGAAATATATTAAATAAATCTATTAAAATTTAAAGAATTTAATTCCATTTTAAAATAGTAAAATAGTAATATTAAAATCTATTAAAAGTTAAAAAAATTGCTGAGAAATTAGATTCCGAAATATTTGCATAAGTATTTTATCAATACGCTTCTTAATAAATAATATTAAATTAATTTAAAAAAAAATTTCGAATAATAATGTGCAATTTCTTACAATTAGCAATAGCATTAGTTTACTTTCTCTATGAAATAAACAATTTAATTCAATTCAAGTAAAATTTTAAATCGATTGAAAAAAAAATAATTGTAATTATTTTGTTAATTTCATATAATAATGAATTGTTTGCTTGTTTATTTGTTTATTTGTTTTTCACATCAAATAAGAGAAAAGTTTGTTAGAGTCCAAAGCGTACAACAATAAATTCATGGTTACGTATGATTTGGCAATTTAATGTTACAATTATTATTTGCTTAATACCGCTCATTTCCGAAAACAAATGCGCCAAATATTTTGAAAAAGAAGAAGGCAAAAAATTCAATGTATTCATTTTGTTTTTATTAATATTTAAGAGATAATTCTTTTAATAACAATAATGATAATAACATCACCAATAAGGGTATATTAGTTGTATTAAAATGATAAAATGATAAGAACTATACTAATATTTGTAAGGACACTGATAAGAGCAATAACAATTTAATATTTACACTGCTATTTGTATAATTTCTGAAGATAAACAAATTAAAATGAATGCTATTTTTTAGGCCAATGTTTTTGCCTCAATTTATTTAAAATTCATAGGATTAAATTATACTGAATGTAATTTTAAATTTATTTTGAAAATGATTTTGCAACGAATATATAAAAACAAATAATTCAGAAAATGATTTAAATTAGTTTGTAGCAGAAGCTGCAAATGTTACTTAATAATATATAAATTAAAAATTTTGATTGACAATTTAAAAAAAAAAAATTATTTCTTATATATTGAAAAATCATTAAACATTATCTCATTTGGCGAGAAAAAAAAAGAATTTGGAGACAATTTCTATTTCATACATAATTTGATATATTTCAATTGAAATTAACTGTAAACAAATAAACTAATTAAAACAAAATTAAAATATAATTAGTTTTTAGCAAAAATATTTTATGATTAAAACAGTTTCATCACGAATAGAAGGTTCAATTACAACATTTATTTTAAAATTAACAAATAAATATGATCTCGGAGAACGTACAATATATGTACTTGTTTTTAGTGGCTGGCAAGAAGTATGTCTTTTTCTCATCAGAAAAAAATTTTATCAACTGATAATGACAACTGATAATTTTTAATGATAAAAATAAATGATGAATATATGGTAAATAAAGGAGAAAAAATTTTTTTTTGAAAAAAAGAATTTAAAAATGTAAAAATATGAATGAATAATTAATATGTGATTTGGAAATTTTTTAGATATTACTATAATCAAAATTTCAAATAATTTTTTACATATTACTATAATTAAAATTCCAAATAATTACAATTAAAATTTCAAATTACTTGCATTTTATTTTAATAGATTAAATTTTTAACTGAAATAAAAAATTGTTTCAGAATTGCATTAATGTAGTTTTATCCTTTTTTTTTTTTTTTTTTTTTTTTGTTCTTCATTTCAAATTTCAAACTTAATTTCTTTTTCAGTAGTTTAGTTCTGCTACATTTTAATTACAATTTATACAGTGAAAATAAAACTTCATTTTGATACATAATTTAAAATATGAATTGAATAATTTAAATTAAATAATTTTTTTAAATAAATAAAAATTAAATAATTTAAACTATGAATTTTCAAAGGTATCGAAACGACCTGTAATAACTGAACTACTCGGTCTTCTTCGAGCAGCATGGGCAGTTGAACAAAGTAATGTATCAGATAAGAAATATCCAATATTAGTACACGGAGTTAGTGGTACTAGAAGAACTGGAACATATGTACTACTTTCGATACTTTGCAAACAGGTAAGTAATATATAGGTAAGTAATATAATTAATTAGCATAATTTGTTATTAACTAATTAATTAAAACATTTATTACGAAAAAAATTATTAAATTTAAACGATAACTTATTGAATCATTGATAATCAATAATTGTTCAAATCAAATTGTTAAATGTGGTTGAAATGAAATATTTAACTAATATTACTGAATTAATTTATTAAAAAAAAGAATCGTAAATTCATTTTATTAAATACATTAATTAATTAATTAATTAAATTAATAAATTTAGATGACAGAACGTGGACAACTTTCACTGATAACAGCATGTTTAGCTGTACGTAGTTATCGTTATCATGTTATGAATAGCCTTTATTATTTTATCATTTTATTAGAAGCATTGCTAATTTATGCAGCTGATATTGGCTTAATTGATCAAACAAAACAAAGTTTTGCAATAGCTAAAAAGGTTTGAAATTTTTTAAATAATTCAAACAAAGCAAAAGTTTGCAATAATCAAAAAATTTTTTTAAAAAATAGGCTAAAAAATGCAAAAAAAAATATGTATTATTAATTTTATTAGTATTTAATGATTGTTTACAAAAATAAACAAAATTTTTTTTCCTTTAATTAATAATGCAGCAATATTTTCTAATCAACTTCTTTCTATCTTCTTTTTCATATAATATTATTTCAAATTAATAACGATTGTGATATAAACAAAAAGTAAAAATAGGATCTTTAAAAATTTCACCATTTTCCAAATTCTTTTTAATTCAGAATTTTAATACTTTTTAAATTTTAAATTTTATTAAATTAATAAAATAGAATAAATAAAAGTTAAATAAAAAACAAAAGTAAAATTTTTCATATGAAAAGTTTGTTTTTTTCTTTTTTTCTTTCAGTTCATACGAAATTTGGCAATAAAAGAAAGAGAAAAATGTGATAATTATTAATCAATTAATAATGGCAATAAAAACATTTCGAATAAACAAATTCAAAAAAAAAAAAGAGAGAAAAAATTTTATTTTCAAAATTATTTTTGTTAATTGTAAATGATCAATTATTTTTGTCAAATTTTTTTCACTCAATGCTTAATGATTATTGCTAAATAGAATCGATTTACAATTCAAGAATTAATTTTTTACATTTTACAAAATCATTCGAATTTTGAATTAATGACAAAACAAAAAAAAAAGAGAAAAATTTTTAAATGAAGAAAAAAAAGAGCAATCAACGAGTGAAATTTTAAAAAATATGAAAATATCAGGTATTATCACTTATTATTTAGCGTTATTTCAGAAAAAAAAAAGTTAAACGTTAAAAAAAGAAATGAAATAAATAAATAAATATTGTTGAAAAATATTATTTTAGAAAATATTTTTTAAATGAAAATTTAAAAATTGTTTTAGATATAAATGTTTTTTTCCTCACCGAACTACGTTAATTATTTTTACTCTTCGAATTTGCATATTCGCAAGTAAATTTTTAATGTCATCTCACTTGAAATTTAAATATTTTATTGTCATAACTTTTTCTTTCGAATTTCTTTTGTGGTTATTTTAATATTTTAAAAGTATGCTAAATTTGTTGTCTGTAAGAAAAAAATAAATTAAACATTTAATTTCGGCGATTAAAAGCATAACATAGAACGAAAAGAAATTTTAAAAAATTAATTAATTAAAAAAAATGTTCTTTAAAAAAAAAAGTTAAATTTGAAAAATATCGTCTAAAAAAAAGGACAAATATTTATTTATTAGAACTATTGATGAATTTTTTTTCGTACTGTAATATATTAGCCTAAATTTTGCTACCTTTTTTAAATGACAACAACAAAAAGTTTTTTATATAAAATAGAATTGGTCAATTAAAGATAAAAGAGACGAGAGAGGGATGCAGGGATAAACAGAGGGAGAGGTGAGAAGTGAAATTGAAGTAATCATTCTCTTTAGAGTAGCAAGAAAAAAAGATGATGAATGAATAATACTTAAATTAGAAGTGACCTCTGAACCCGCCATTTTCATTTTTTACACTTCTTCCTTACTATTTCCTTTTTTATCATTTTTTGTTGCTCTAACAAAATAATATCAATGGTAGAAATATAAATTACAATAAAATTTATTACTAATTTAAATTATATCACTAAAATTTAATTTTTTTTTTGTTGTTAAAAAAATGATTGCAAGCAAATTCAAATTCCTTTTTCTTCCAGCAAAATTTAAATTTACTATTTATGCATATTTTTTCCAATGAATGTTTTAAATTTGCTACTTGCATATGTCTTTTCCCTAAAATTGTTTACTATTTATGTACAACTTTTTTAAATTTACTATTTACATATATAATTTAAATTTAATATTTATGTATATCTTTTCAACTTTTATCATTACCACACGCTACCGATCCAAAAATTTATAATTATGTGAAATAGATTGAAAATGAATGACAACACAATTGTCATTGCTAAATTAATTAATTCAAAAAATTTTGTATTGTAATTATTTTTAATTTTCAAGTTGAAAAAATTTCTGTTTTTATCCTAATTTTAATGGATAAGAGGAATTAAAGGATTTTTTTAAATTACTTTTTTCACTTTATACAAGATTTGCCATAATTTTTTGACCACTATGCTGGTCATTTGATAAGAGAGCATCTTTCCATGTAATTATAAATTAGATTCTTTATCCATTTGGTCACTCTTATCAAATGACCAAATGGACTTTCTATTTATTAATTACATTCTTTTACCCATTAGATTGTTTGATTTGATAAGAATGGACTGTTCTCATGTAATTAATTACATTTCTTAGCCATTTGATCATTCGATAAGAGTAGTAGCACATTGCTGAATTTAAAATTTGCAAAAAATTCTGACGAAACATATTTAAAGTCAAAAATAATGCTTTCATTATTTCTTCAGCAATTTAAAATTGAATTTTTGAAAAGTTGAAAATTTAAATCTTGAATTTATTTTTAGTATTTAAATGTAGCCATAATATTAACGCATGCTACACAGCAAATTGTAAATTTAAAATTCTTAATAAAACTTAGTGGAAGTTGAAAGTTAGATTTTTTAACAATTTTAAATTGCATTTTTGGAACTTTAATTTTTAGTACGAATTACTAAAATTTAACAAACAATAAAAAGTATTATCTATCATTTGTCATATCAATTTGGACAGTTAAAATTGGAAATATAAGAAAACTGTACCGAATTTCTCCTTAAACTATTTCACTATTTTAACTTAATAACTCTGATAATAATAATAATAATAATAATAATAATAATAATAATAGTAATAATATTAATAATAATAATAATAAATAAATAATTTAATCTTCATATTGCACTTAATTGTCGCATATATTTGAAAGTGGCAAATTAGCTTATCAACGCACGTCGCCTTTCCTGTTAAAAAATTAAAAAAGTCAAAATTCATTTTTCAGGCTTAATTTTTTTTCTGAACTGAACTGTGTTTTGATAATATCAACAAATATTTATTGATTAATTACATTGTACTTCGTGTGAAGTTCATAAATTTTTTATGTTTTTGATTTATTTTATCACTTGTAACTTAGCTTTTTTTAAGTTTGTTGTATATAAATTATATCATTTCAATTAGATTTTAAAAACATAATTAAATTATCAAATATTTGAAAGTCATTTTTTGCAAATTTGACAAGAAATCAATTAATTATTTTAATACTTTCATATATGTAATTGCAATATATTTTTTACTGCAACATTTCATTGATAGCGTATTAATAAACTTGACAAGATATGAATAAAACGTTTATGTAATTTAATAAAAAATTTTAGCCCAAACAATAAATACGAAACGAAATTCTGAACCAGCAACCATATCAAATAATTTGTCCTAAAAAAAAGAAAAAAATTAGAAAAAAAAAATGAACAGAAAAAAAAGAATAAGAAAATAATTTAAAATGCTACTATTGATGCTGTGCGACAGATGCGCAGCAGCAGTGAATTCTAATGACAGTTGCGCAATGACAATGCCAGAAAATAAATGTAAATAACTAATGCTATTATTATTCATTGCAAACATTACGAATTATGATTTTCCTGGGATCTAAAGCTAATAACAGTTATTTTTACATTTGTCAACTATTATTATTAACATTTGTCAACCATAATTTAAATGGAATATATTATTAGTTAAAGTTATTAATAAGTTATTAATTACTTTAATTTCCACTGATGATTTTTTTTTCGTTATAATTATGTCATTTTTACTCATTATGCATATTTACCTCAATTATATAACCAATGAATTAATTCATTTTCACAGGCATTATCAATTTATTTTCGAGAATATTTAAATACCAATTGTGGTAATTATATTTGTATTATCGATCAGACAAAAAAATTTAAGTAAGTTCTTGCATTTTATATTATTTTGATCTAATTACTTTAAAATTTAAGCAATTATTGTTCAATTTCTTGGTTTGATTTACAATTCTGTGCAATGAATTTTCTTTTCCGAAAAATTATAAATGCAAAAGAAAAACGACCAAATACCAATAACAATAATAATAATATCAAAAGAAATAACGATAAAATGTTATGTTATAAATGAATTCTTATCACTTTGAAATATTGAACTGTCGCAGTTTTATTATTCATTCATTCATTCATTCATCCATTTTGTATTTTGGTGGGAATTCAGTCAAATATGTTTTGTTTTATGCAAAAAACATTTTATTTTAATTTTGATAATAATGAATTTATTATTATGTTCTTTTTGCTGTTATTCATTGTATTTTATTATCATTAATTATTATTATTTATTATTATTATTATTATTATTATTATTATTATTATTATTATTATTATTATTATTATTATTATTATTATTATTATTATTATTATTATTATTATTATTATTAATATTATTATTATTGCAATTGCAGTTGTTATTGCTCATTTTATTGGTAATTCAACTATTTCTTTTATACAAATATGCATTTTAAATTGCTAAAATGCAAACATGCATTTTTATAAACATTTAATTCAAATTTTCATGTTATGAAATAGATGAACTGATTGTTGAATTATTTAATTCAATATAAAAAATGATTAAAAATAAGTATCATATTTCACTCTTTTTATAATTTTGCTGAAGCAAAAAATTAACACTTTTTCTGTTTTGTAACTCTTTTAAAATTTCAAAAAAGTTTATTTCATTTTTGATTTCAAATTTAAACTTTCGAATGATTAATGCAACCAAATGAGAAAGGAAGGAAGCAAAAGAACAAAATCATTTATTTTCAGCATTGTATATTTTCCTATCATAAATAAATATTCATTCTGGTATTTAGTGTGTGTTTATTTAGATTTTCATTTCAATATTCAAAATTTATTCATTCTTATATTCTTTCAATTTATTTCAGTTCTGTTATTATTTCATTGAACATTTATTTATTTCAATATTCTTGCATAACTTGTTTGCATATTTAAATTTTCAATTTATTCATTTGAATATTTCAATTTGTTTATTTGAATTTTTTGAATTCTCTTTGTTTTATCATTTGACATGTTTATTGGAATATTTATTTTGTTGGTTGCATCTAATACGCAGTAACCTGTTTTTTAATTTTATTACATATTTCACTATTTCTTCCTTTTTTTTTTTTTGAATTTATATTTTAACGAACCATTTAATTATTTCATTCATCACTTTTTTTATTATCCCATCTTTTTTTGAATTTTTTGTTCTTCTTTAAAATGGATGAAAAAAAAATGTGTGAATTAATTAATTAATGGTGTTAACTAATAATTAATAATTATTAATAATACTTATAAATAAATAATGTCATGTTAATTTGTTAATTATGAGATGATAAAAACTTGATAATAACTATTAGTTCGAGTAATATTCCTAGCAGAAGTATTCCAATTGTAATTTATAAATAAAAGAAGTTAAGATGAAAGGAA